AGTAATAGTGATAGTAATAGTGATAGGGATAGTGAAAGTAATAAGAATAGTCATTATAAGAAACAAGAATATTAACATTAATATTACTGTTTATTGTTATTAATAAGAATAAACACAGCTTAACAACAATAAGAATAATAGATATCATGACCCGGCAAAGATCTTATTCTCCGTGTTTTCCTTTTCGTTTCGGTCTTCGGTTGAGCCGGCCTGCAGGCACGTGGTTGAGGATGCACGTTTTCCATCGACTTGCTCTTCCAAACGCTGTCCCCCAGATTTCAGCAGCTCTAGTCTCTGGGTCGCGGAGCTCCGGATGTAAACCCAAACTTAAACAGAGAGGAGAGCAATTAAGAAAAGCAGCTTTCAGTACAGTGAGCGGTTATTGCTATTTACAAACAAGACTTTCATTGATTGGTTCCGCACGGCAGGTGCAGCTGTTTTCGCCAACGGACTCGTCTCCGTTTTTTGAGACCGAATGCTGTCCAGCAGGGAAGGACGTGGCGGGGTTGTCGCGCAAATTTACAAGTTCAGATGAAGCAGCCGGCGCGTCTAGATCAACCAGTCAGCATGTCTAACTCGCTGGACGTAGGATTCTTATTCTTCTTCGTCTTGTAAATAGTTAGCTTCGTGATGTTACTTTGCCGTGTTCTTCAGCGTGTTTGTTGCTTTTGTTTACTCGAAATCTTCTACTCTTATATGGGGCAATTGGCGTCTGCCAGCTCGGGTTCTCCAGGAGTTCTGTGGCGGCTGCGCCAAGATGAACGCCGGGAAGTCTGCCTGCGAGGTTTGCAGTGGTGGCTTCACGAAGACCGGTGGCCTTGCTGCATTGGATGTAGCGCCCATACCGGCCGGAAAGACGAATGTTTCTGTCGGGTTCCGTACATACGGTCAGCCTTCCTGCTGCTGCTACAAGCACAACCACAACAACAGCTACTACTGCTTTACTAGTCCCTCAGTGCCGCGAGATGTAGGGTGCAGTAGTGAACTTCCAGCTGTCAGGTTCTGGCAAGTGTGTGGCTTGTGTGGATCTCCCTGCATGGGTGAACAAGGCACGAGACCGTAAGTGGTACGAGTTGCAGCAGGCAGCCATCAGCAACACTGGCAAGTCGTGATTGCGTTGCTGGTCGTGGTGGTGGTGGTTGCTGTTGTCGTAGGCGTTCACATTTGTCGAGCCGCAGTGGTATTCGTTGTGTGTACTTGCAGTGGCTGTGTGGTGATGGTGGTGGCTGGAGTGATTCTAGCTGCCGTAGTCGTAGTCGTTGCTGATGAATATTGTGGTTGTTGTTGTTTCGAGTTATTTGTAGCGCTGAAGCAGCGACAGCAGTTGCTTGTTGCAGTGCAGTGTACTCAGCATGACGTATCCACGCAGTTACTTGAGCTCTCCGTTTGTAAGGCTTCCTGCAGCCAAGAAGGCAAGAGTGGGTCCCAAACCTTAGTGTCCACGTCGCCAAGGTCTTCTTTCGGTTTATGATTCCGGTTCCTCGTTTCGTAAGTCTTCACGAATCGGGTTGTAGGGTCTCGGTTGTTCCCACCATGATCGTCTATTGCAATGGGTTCAGGGTTTAGGGTTCAGGAGTTCAGGGTATGGAATGAGGCGCTGGCATTCCACGGACGGATGCCCATCTTCGGATGGGAGTCGCCAAAGAGCCAGCCTTCTGTTGAGAGCTCTCCAACGTGTACGCCCTAAGCAAGCCCTGCACTGCCGAAGCTTCAACCTTAAGTTGCGATCTGCGTTTCGTCCGGCGATGGTCTGCGACTGTGGGCGGTGATGGCCGGAGCCGGAAAGCAGGGAGGCACTGGCCCAAAGGGTGTGTGTTTATGTAGGAACGGATGAAGGTCATACAGGAAGACCCTTAAACACCTAATCCTAACCTCTATATTTCCTTAAACCCTGAGCTCGAAACCCTAAACCTGAACCTTCAATAGCCTGAAACCAACATCATCTGCAACCGGCCATGTCCAGGCAGGCGACAACTGCCTCGTGGCCCACTGCTCCACCGAGAAGTTCCAAGGCTCCGCGGTTCGGTGGTTCAGGGGTTCTATTGGGATACCGGTGTAGGGTTTAGGGTTTTGGTGCTGGTTGTTGAAGCAGCGGGTCCTCAGCTTCGTGTCCACAGGTTTCTTCCAATGGCTCTAATGGCGGAAGTCGGACCTTTGGTAACCCCAGAGCTCGACCGTCCACAGCCGCAGGAAGATAGTTCCCAGCGCGCGAAGCGCAACAAGCCTTGCAGTCGTCCTAGGTCGTAGGTCGAATCCTGAATTCCACCTAAACCGAGGCTTCTCTTCGAATTCTGCCTGCTGCAAGTGCGGAGGAGGGCAGCAGGCGCGGTCACCTTGAGGGGCCCATGGTTTAGGGTTTAGGGTATAAGCCACCTTGAAGAGGGTCGGGCTTAAAATGTTTGTTGGGTGGTTCAGAGTTTGAGCCCTTGGTTTCTGGACTTCGAGTGGCATTTCTTTGTCCGGGTTTGGGACGCCTCAACCCTGCAAACCCAAAATTCCTAAATCCTAAAGTCTAAGCCCCAAAACCTAAAGCCTCAACCCTCAATAACCCTAAAGGCCAAGCCCTAAACAAAGCCTCCCAAACCTCGGTAGACAGAGCCGCAGCACGCCCGGGGCTTTCGGCAGGTTCTGTTAGGGCTGCGACTTTGGGGAATTTTTTGTAAACCTTTTAAACACAACTTTAATTAGACCTAAACTTCTTTAAAAAGCAAGGAGCCCTAAACCCCAAACCCTGGGTTCAGGGCTGCGACTGGGGGTTCTCCAGGGGCTCTCGGAGTCCGAGCGCATGGAGCCGTCAGTTATTTTCTAGGGATCTCCGCAGCGAATTCTCGCTCGCCCTTCATGCCTGAGGGGTTTCGGGGTTTGGGGGTTTAG